ATATATATTCAACCTGGTGTTAGTAAACATGACAGGGGGAAAATACAGTACTTACTTGGATTTTAAAATAAAAAATTGTAAAGAAGACAGAAAATTTGCACTTGCTACTAAATTTTGTAAAACCAAATTTCCATTTACTTTGTGCCTATGCTCCTGAAAAAATGCCAAATGAAGACAAAATTTTGTGGTACCATAAGGACTAATAGTGGAATTCCACAATATTTTGACGTATTTGTAAAATACCTAACAAAAGGGACATCACTTTTTCTGCAGAAAGAGTGAAATTTTTCTCCAAATTTGCAGACAAGCAGGTAGTGAGCATGATTAATACAATTCATGACTCCAAAATGGTAAACTCAGGAAAGAAAGTCAGAAAAGCTGACGAGGCAGTAAAGAAGCCCAGCTTTAGTGCAAAATGCAAATAAATGAAAGGTGTGAGCAGGGTCAATCAGTACCCAAAAAAAAAAGGTGATCCATACATTCTAAATTCTGTTTTGTTCAATGCACTTCTTGTGTCCAAAACTTTACACCAAAATCAAAATGCAGAACACATAAAAAGCATGTGGGTGGCTTTCACAGGTTGTGGAACACTGAAAAGCACTATGTAACCGAATCCAGTTTGCACAATGCTCAACCTCCAGTGAAGGGACCAACCAACCTACGGTCCCAAAGAGGACCCTCCGGGCAGACTATCATACAGAGTGCAAGTGGATACATTAATCTACTGCATTAATATTCTTAGTTTAAGATATTTCAGTCGGTGAAGCACTACTGAACTTCCTGCACGCATTTATCACACAATTCACCTCCGAGGCATCATGTTGAATTTCAAGTGGTTTCTGCTTCAGGGTAGTAATATACATAAAATATCAAGGTACTGGGGTTGTTAAATAAAAGGACATACCAATGTTAACAATAGTAGTCAAAATATACATTTCTGTTGCTTCTATGTGCTATCTGACCCTGTACCTATTAATTGAAGAGCATTTAAACACAGTGTTTATTTATTGAGCACTATTTGGAATGCTCTATACTATGTACAAAAGCAATTAAGTCAATATGAAGGTGGGGAAAACAGTGTTTATTTATTGAGCACTTTTTGGAATGCTCTATACTTATGTACAAAAGCAATTAGGTCAATATGAAGGTGGGGGGGGGGGAAGTAACACAATCTCCATACTTTCCCCACAGGAAGTTTCTCTGGCTGGCCTCTTGAAAAACTTACTTCTCAGGGAAATACTGCACCTCCAAGATATAAATGGAGACCTCAAAGATGATTCCATGTGTCAAAGAAGATACTTAATGAAGGCATGATTATTGGGAATGGAAAGCGTTCTACACAGCTCACATCAAGTACTAACTAAAATTAATACAATTAATCCAGTTAGTTTACAAACATGCACATGAAACAAATAAATGCTGCTACTACTGACTATATAACCTATGATACAAGTACACAAAGAGACAATTCTTACCATACATACCATTCACTGAAATACATTTAACTCAGCAAACATAGGAAGGAAGTGCAACAACAGGAGGAGAAAGGACAAAGATACAAGAGACTTGCATTACAATCATAATCCTTCTGGCATATCCTCTATCTTGTGAATGTTAGATGTGAAACCATATATAACTTCCTTGCTATGTAAAACTGATAATCACAGTGCTAAGTAAATTATTTATCTTTTCCCAAACCTAGGAAAGAAGGCTATTCTTACGCATAGGCTTCCAGAGATAAAGCTCAATTCTCTACCTTGACAACTTCAAAGTCCAACCGCTTTACTACTGGTACTAACACAAACACTACACCATAAAGAAAACAGGTTTTTATAGATGTTTATGGATGTTTATAGATTCACTGCTTAGCATCAGGTCTATATGCCACACTATAGGTGAAAAAAGGTATTTACCCTCTGCTATAGAAAACATTCCTATAAAGAGCATGGTAGTGTCTGTTCAAGTGGGTACACTTTTACATAGCTAGCAATTACTTGCAAGAGCTAACAAAATACTTCATATTTTTGTGATATATTTCATCCACTCTCAACAAATCCTTTACGACCAACAGTTCAAACTCTGAATATACACAACTGTATTTATGACACACAGTATATTCAGTAGAATGGTTTGGTTTTCCAATAAATAATGCTACTACCTGTACATTTAGGCAATGCCACTTGTCAAACAGGTTTAAAATAGCATTTAATCATCTGGAAGGGGATATGCTAAACTTGCCCATCAGTCTTGTCGGAATTTTCACCCTTCTCAAACTACAAATTTTGTTACAAATCACAGAGTTATGGAACGCTAAGTGTTTGAGAGACTGTTGGAAACAATATTAAGTTAAAACTCAGGGCACAAACTGCTGTCACTTAATAGAACATGAATCAGTAAAAAGTAAAAAAGTAAAGCTATCCCTGCAACAGGCAGTAGAGGCCCATAGTGTTGCGAGTCATTGAGGGTCCCACATTATCTAGACAATCTGCTCAAAGATGGCAGTAAGATTGTGAAGCTTATGCGCCAGCCGCGCTTTACTCCCCAGGAAAATTATTTAATTCATTCCTGGTACTCATTTCTGTTCGAGGCTGAGTCGACCCCAGGGCCATAGTGTGGCTGGAAGGATTAGATCAATTGAAAAAAATCCAATGACCTCACTGGGACTGGGACTTGAACTTGCGACCTTCCAGCTTGTAGCATAGCCCCTCAACCAACCATGCTACCGTGTGCCCCGGAACATGAATCAGTGTTTGACCAAATTCTGACAACTACACAAAGTACAAAATGTGTCAAAATCAATGTGAATTATGGAATGTGATCAGTGTTTGAGTATAAGAATGACACAAATTACAACTGCCAGAAATAAAAACCATGATAACCAACTTTGAACTTAAGGACAATATTAAACAAATTCATACAGAAAATAAAAATCTTCAAGTACCTTGGGTTGCCTCACCTGCAGTGCATTGGGAGGGGTAATTGCCCTCCCCACTCTCAGGTATTGGCCTCCAAGATCAAACAGGTTCATCGAGGCGATGGCTTCTAATGCAGCCTGCTGAGTCTCATATTCTATGAAACCGTAGCCTTTGTGTCTACTTGGAGTGCTGCCAGGAGCCAATTTGCAGTACTTGATTGGCCCAAAAGCTTCAAACACACTGTTTAAGACAAATTTTGTAATTTTATAATTATAATGGAAGGTCTTTTAGAAACGATAAGACAACAAAAATGAAGTTAACCTTTTTGGAACTGAGTTTCCCACACAATGGCCATTTGTAGTTAATAAAATTAAATTTAAGTTTATTTTCCAAGATTTCATGTGCAATTTTTCAAGACTGCAAGTGAATTGGCAATTCTTTACCTGTAAAATATTATTTACATTTACTGCAACATGTGAATATGTAAATAACGCTAACCTTTTGATGTCTTCTTCAGTGAGATCTGGATGTATAGATGCCACATAAATCCGATTGTAATGTTTCGCTTCTTCAGTAATCTCATCAATAACAGACTGCGCCTGGGGCATGTTGCTGGGGCGTCCCACCTGCAGTAGGACACCGACAATTAAACTGTTAAGACATGGGTCGGTACGCCTCCGAGACGTCATCACGGAGACTCCCGATTTTATATAGCAAAACTTAATTTAATCAGCATGGGCTGAGTTAACTCAAATGGTACATCATTCATTGCCACAGGCACCACGGTTCCACAGCCAAAGCAGACACTCCTCGCAACGACCCCGACACATGCGCAAGGAAACCTGTGAGTAGAAAAAGCTGAAAAGAAATGTTTTACTAAGGCAGTAAACAATTCAACAAATGAACGCAAGACAAGTAAAATGATAAGATAGTTCCACCATATATCAGTAATTGAAAAAAAAAAATGGTTTGTATAAAGCCAAACAGTTTGACACAAAATGTATTTTAAAATTTCACTACAGAGTCATGTATCTTGTAAAGGGAATTACTGATATTAAGCTGCATTACTTCTGAATATATATGATCTGCCTTTATAGTTTACCCCAAAACATGTCAATTTCAGTTTCAAACGTTTATAATCGAACAAAGAGTACTCCAAATATCAATGCCAAATTACAGCAAAGCCACATTTAAACAAAGTTTTGTTTGCAACTTTGACTTTTACCACAAAAATTACATGACCTGTTTTGAGGTAATGGTATTGTCCATAATGTATGCTCTTCAATGCACACATTGTACTGACAACCTGTTACTTGAAGCTATGAGTGGTGGAAATTACCGTGTGTGCGCTCTTCTCTCATACTCACGGCCATCCCTCGCAGTTGGTGCTTCTCAGCCCCTGCCCCTGGCTCCCCCAACGATTATCATCACGAGTCTCTGAGACACACAGCCCCTGCTTCATTCTGCTCTCGCCACGATATTCTAAGGTACGAGACTTTGCGAAAGAAGGAATGTATTTGGGGCCAACTTAATCATGTTGAATGACATAAAATGAACAATGATACATTAAATTAAAGGATGTTTTAGTATGAATAGGGAAGCTATCATGGAACAATTGCATTTATTGCTACAAATTTCTTTAAAAAAAAATATGAATACTGAGCAATTTATAAGTAAAATATGCTGACGAAATATTACTTCCAAGATTAAATGTGGCCAAAAAAGAAAAATTTTGAAACAATTAAAGAAATTATCTCAGCTATATGGAAACACTTTTCATAATAATTCACTTAGAAACAACATGGACACAGGCAAAAATCAGCATGCCAATTAGAGGGTAACTGTAATTATCACGCCTTTAAACGATATTCTACAGACAATGGGAAAGTTTGTCTGCATCTCAAGTTAAACACGGTTCTGTTTTCAGGGTTGGATGTTCACAATTAAAGCAAACAATTGTCCACTACATAGCTTACCCTTCCCTTGGAAGCAACATGGAATCCAATTTATGTAGCATATATCACTTGACATAAAATTTGCACATGAAAATATGCATTATGTGGCTGGAATTACAGCTTACAACACAACCACTACAGGTTTTATTTTTAGGATTCATCAAATTCATGGGAATGACAGGTTATGAACAAAGACCTAATTTATTACAGTGCAGCATTCCCACAAACAGTAAAACATGGTGTGAATGTTCAAAAAGAAAAGATAATCACGGTATATATCAACTGATCATATATAGCTTGGAGATTACACTCTCCCTCTAAGAGTGAAACAAGAACCATACAATAATGCCAACAATTTGTTTTAACCACACTGCTGCAGTGAACACAAACTACAAATATGAATATTGTAAGCAGTGTTGTAAAATGTGATACAGATAAAGGGCATTTAAATCAATAGGTCCATTACACTAGGCATGCCAGAGTTAAACCATGTATACGGAAAATTAGGAACATCTTGTGGGAAGTTACATGTGAACAGTAAACACAGTTAAAAGACGCTGCACTAAACAGCAGAGTGAATAAAGGGTCAAGAATCTTGAAGATATAATTTATACCTTAACCCTTTCGCTGCTAGTATGTTAAGTAACTTTCAGTACCCTCTGTGCTGAATTACTTTTGAACAAATCTTTTATAAATAATTCAAGTGCAAAATATGAAAATTTGTGATAAAATGTAACTAATCTTACCTCAGACAGGGAACAGGCAGCAGAAGTTGCAAAAATGTTGAATTATTCAGTATTTTTCACAGAGGAAAAGTCAATTTAAATCAGGGTTGTCCAAGATGGCCAAAAAAAGTACATAATTCACTATCCTAGTCTTATCACTATGTCACATGTTGACCAAAGTCCACAACTTTATTTAAAACTATTATAGAAAGCACCGCGCACTATACGAAGCCATTTTTACTAGCCCTGTGAAATACCCGCATCACATGACCATGGAGCGCGTGCCTTGGTGTGAAGATGCAACCTTTTACATTTCTTAAACTAGAGGGCAGAACAATGCAGCCATTGAAATGAATGATGCTTCATTATGTTCCCAATAGATGACTCTATACACCCGCCAAGTTTGAATGAGACTGGAGCAAAGAAACCTGAGATTCGAAACTCTATAGTCGCAATACGGGTTTTGTCAATCGCAACAAGGATGCCATGTTTTTCAGAGATCAACATATGTCGACCGCAGCAGTGTTAGGTTTAAAGAACTATACTGCATATTTCTGAACACAATGACCATGGTGGGGAGGAAAGGCACTACATAACCTTAAGAGATTTCCTAAAACGAACAGCTGCCTTCATGCACTTCTCATGACGATGAGTGGCCAATACTGTTATGTGTTACATAATACAGTGATATCAACTGCCATTTGCTGCCTCAAATTTTGCTCAAGCCCATATCGAGATATTGGCAGCAGTGATTATAGGAGGGTAACATAAATGGTAGGCACAGCTGCTGGAAGGTCAGAGGTGAGAAGAGATTACAGTGTATCAATTATGGAAGAGATATTCTTAATCAAAGATAAGTAAGAAGGCAAAGGTGATCCAGGGGACATGCAACTGCAGAAAGCAGTGACAAGTCACTTGGGTCCACAAAGTTTGTGTTCTTTGGGGGGGTTCAGAAACTAAAGTAACATTGTTACTCAAGGGGCAGATGAGAAATATTAAGTTCAGAAAATACCTGATGCAAGATGTAACCCTTCAGTAAATGGAGAGGCGAGATAGTAATACCTGTTACAAGAAACAAGCTATCACATCATTTAAAACGAACTACAGTAACATACTACGATTATATTGCCAAACAAGAACTTACAATCTGCAGCAATGAAACAAAACTGCTTACTCTGTCACCTAATTTCCACGATGTTAAAATATCTAATGGAAATAGAATTTTCATTAAACAAATTTACTCCAAAGTTTAATGTCTGTGGAAGTTGTTACTTTCCCTTTCATTTTTTGTCCCAGAATAAATGTAGTCTGCATGTTATCTTGTGCCACATCAACCGGATAGAAGTCAGTAAGAAATGAGGTAAGAATATTACATATAGAAAACTAAGGAAGATGGGGGTACATATATTGACACCTACTTCAACGCAATTTTTGCTTCATGGGAACGCAATTCTTGTGGATTACATGTTTTGCCCCACAATAAAAAATAAAGAAATAAAGGCTGAATTAGTTGCTTAGAATGATGGAAGAGTAGCACCAATTTTAACCATTTGTGGGAGAGTTCCACTGTTTCTGACAACAAAACATATGACAAAACATTTCCATGTTGCATTCCATACTGTGTATTGTGTGAAGTGTAGTGTTAGAGAACTCAGCAGACCCTAAATTCTCCATTGCAATACCACAGCTGTGACAAGTTCAGGACTTGCTACTGCACTACACAGAATTCTGGCTCAATCTCATAACATACAAAACAGTAACAATTTTGGAACAATTCTTAATATTCCAAAAGGCTGAGAAAATGCAAAAGCATAATTGTACAGAAATTCTTACAGAAGACATGACTGCACCACCAATCTTACCAATTTTTAGGCAATTTTCACAATATATGTGACACAAGATTGTGTCTATGTTACTAAAATTTACAAAACTTTGAGGGATAATAATAACTTGCTTACACACTGACCTCAAAATATCCAGTAATATTAAATGATCAATACCCTGATACAATTTCAGTGCCCACTGGGCATTTGGTATATTACAGAGAAAGAAAGAAAGTGAAAAAGAGAAGGGACCTTGAGATTTCTGTGGGCACAAATTATGATTTCTGTTGTAAGTTTTATTTCATATTAATAACTTCCAAACTTTTCATGCAATTAATGCAAATATATGATTATGGACACAATTATCATAAATTCTGTCCCAAGAAACACAAAATTACTGTGTATGTGCTATATTTATTAGAAATAATAGCTAGCAAGTCAGCACAATTGTAGTCACAACCAACAATGGTAAAAACATGGAGAACTGAAGTTCAGCTGTTGATAACAGCTCGAATAAGGAACTTCTACCTTGATGTTTCTTCCCCCGATCATCACGCCGTTCATCTGTTCTAGGGACAGCTGTGCAGCCTCCGGAATCTCATACTCTACAAAGGCGAATCCTTTATGTTTCTGCATCACTGGGTCCCAAGACATGTTGATTGATTTGATTGGACCAAACGGCAGAAATGCTTGTCTTATTGTGTCTTCCTTCAGTTCAAAGCTTATGCTCCCGACATATACCCTGCAAAAAGAGACACATCATCGAAATTGTACACAAATTCTGAACTTCGCAAGATGGAAATTAGACGGATGTCAAACAGTGCTTTTCTAAAGAAGGGGAATTAATATAAGAGATATACAGACAACTGGCAACAAAGCAAGTCCTTAGAACATAAGATTCTTCTGTTTCTACAAGTCTGTATTCTTGGAAAGATGTGTACTCCTGGTCCTCCAATTCTTTCTTCAGAATTGATAAGACATTGCTGATCTCAATTCAGTTTTATATTTACACGAAATTCTGCTTCCCTTAATTTTAAACAAAACTGGATTCCTTCAGGCTCAGATAGACCAAAACGTTGCTTTCCATTTCTGCAGTAAACATGGAAAAATATATATATATCAATCTACCTGCAATTTAAACTAATGACATTATAACAAGATATTCATTATAATGGAAAGTTCCAAAATTCACTATAGAAAAAATCATAAATTCAAACTCTCAAGCGGTCAGTACTGTCTTCTGGGACATGATGTCACGTATTATAGTAGCAGCTTACTGACGTTTCATAATGTCTACCAGACTGCACGGCTTCAGATTTCAGAACAAAGCAATTATCAACACTGTGAGCACCTCAAATCTCACAAAACAGGGACTGTTTTGTATATGATTTCTTTGTCAATCTATGACAACTCATTTTTAGCTAGTCTCAGAAGTACAAGGTAGATCGAGGAGTACTATTTTCCAGAATATAGTGCCTTGTAGTCTGCTGAGAGTCAACTGACGTTTCGTAAGAACACGCTGATGCCATCTTTAGGGTCGAATAAGCCGAGCATGATATCACCGTGAAAGCAGGTGGCAAGCAGAGTACAAGTAATCAGCTAGCTGGAAATTTCAGATTACATAGGAAGCAGGAGGGAAATGGAAGTGTGGTCCCCAGTTACCATTGGCTTACCCATGCGATACAATGAAATTGCGGGGTTCTCACATGACTGCCGAATGAACAAATAAGCCAAGCAAGATACCAACATGAAAGCAGATAGCAAGCACAGTAATCAGCTAGCTTGAAATTTCATACATAGGAAGCAGGAGGGAAACATAAGTGTGGTCCCCAGTTACCATTGGCTTACCCATGGGATACAATGACACCAATGCACTCTCACACTACCACCAAGCAAACAGAGATAAGAAGAGGAGTTCAGGATAACCCTGAAAATGGGCAGTTTTGCTGGTCTAGCAAAACAACAGGGAAAAGTGTATAGGTGGGGCAGGGTACCAAAATTCCCCGCCATCCCAAACTCCTATTCTTGTCTCCTACTGGTTAGTAAGGTGGTTGAGTGAAAGTCCAGCAGTTTCATTATGTCCCACAGGCAAACTGATGGAAACTGGGGCCCACTCTTCCAATTTCTTCCTGCTTCCTACATAATCAGAAATTTCCAGCTACCTGCTTACTCTGCTTGCCACCGGCTTTCATGCTGGTATCTTGCTCAGCTTATTCAACCCCAACGATGGAGGCGGTATGTTTCCCTCAAACGTTGCCCGACATTCAGTGGACTACACAACATTACATCCCAGAAGACAGCCAAAAAAAAAAAAAAACAGTAAAGTTAAAGCTATCCATATAACAGGCTGTGGAGGCCCATAGGGTTTTGAGAAATTGAGGCTTCCACATTTTCTTGACAAAACAGCTCACAAATGGCTGTGATGTTGTGAGCCTTATACATTGGCCCCCCCTTTACCCCCAGGAGGATTCGTGGTAGTCATATCTGTTAAGGTGAGTAGACCCCAGGGCCATACCTAGTGCAGCTGGAAGCATTAGGTCAACTGAAAAATCTTATGACCTTATCAGGAATTGGACCCGTGACCTTCCAGTTTGCAGCTTAGTGCCCTCCCCCACCTCTATAAGACAGTAGTCTTCATAACCACCATTGTGAGAACCTCAAATCCTACATTTGGTAGATTATTAACTTAAGGTAGTGTGTTATTTCAACAAACTGACAACTGTGTATTACACTACGCTATGGGATTAATATAACAAAGAATATACTTGATTCAGAACTGTACACATGGTAGTATAACAGAAAAATAATTACCCTACAGTACCATGCATTTGTAGTAAGAACTTCCTTTCCCCTAAAATATATGTTCATATCAGGGTGCAGAATTTCTATTTTGAATCACTTCTTGCTTTGTATGTATATAAAAAAAAAAACAACATGAAAAAGTTGAAGTCCCAAGCAAGTGGTTAGTGATGTTCTTTCTGTCTGGTTTATTTTTTTGGGGAAAGAGCCACAAACTGTCACTGGATAGGAGGCTTGGTGGATCCCAGAGCTACTCTGAACACACACACAAAAAAAAAAATTCAGCACTGCTCTCAGGATTTATTTATGCCTTCATTTCTATGATACCTAATCACTCCACTGACACAAGTTAACACAGCTCTTTTTATTACCAAACAGGCCAATCTAGATGTGACTGGTTCTGGGACAGTAGCTGTCCTGACCAAAGTTTCTTTGTGGTTTTCCTCAGCTACTCCTAACAAATGCCAGGACAGTACTTTGTTTCGGCAATGCCCACATCTTTCTGAATCCTCTCCAATTTACTGTTCATCTATTACCTTCACAGGACGCTGTAGTCTTCAAACGGAATGCATCATTAAATAACCCAATGGCGGTGTGTGAGGGGGGGTGTGTGTGGAGAAACTATTGACATAGTATTAGGCTAGCTTTCTTTTCAGTAATCTATCAGACACAATATGTACAGAAAACTGTAAATTTGAAGTTCTCAGTAGTACAGCCACTTAGTGAAAACTATAAATTTAACATTACAGAATTTATATTTGCAATCAGATCTTATCAGCATTTTATCATAACAAATGGGAGTCATACCCAAGTTACACTTGGTGCTCAACCATCCATAATCCATTTAATCTCGTTTTCATCACTCTGCAATCGAAATACAACCACTTTGGAGCACTATGCAAACATTCTGTCACATTCAGATCTAGAGGGAGTTGCAGTCATAAGCCACAGGCTGGCTTATAGACTATCCTTCAAATAAATATAAAAAAAATAAACCCAGAGAGAATGCCTTAATTTTATGACTACAAATATACCCCAAAGTCCACGCACAGACAAGAATATTTGCGCAAAAGAAAACTGACGCCCAATCTGTACAGGCTTTTGGTAAGAGTAACGACTGCCACGCTTAAAAGGTTAACCTTTAAAATGCTACATTTAATCGCTAAGTACTGATCAGAGCCTAGTTTTGAAGTCCAAAATGCAGCATTTCAGAAACAAATTGTATTTCCTGCATTTTCAAAGTGATTAGTCCTAAATAAAAATAGGATTTTTAAGAATTAATCCATTTAACTGGAAGTTTATTTTTTAAAATTATGTTTGCTTTCATAAGCTTCACTTTGATATTCAGTGTTAAAAAGTTACAAATATACAGGACAACTGTACATGACATGATCATAAATTATGATTGCCACTTTTTCCTATATACTTCGAAGCAATCACTATCTCTACTTAAACAAAACTGGAAAAATTCAATACAAATTTGCAATATTTTATAACTGATAAAAGTGACCTCCTCCAGCCTTCAAGAACACCTCACAGCATATAAACAAGTTGTCAAGACACATTCTCAAGCTCTCGGGTGAATAATTCACCATGCACTTACAGCACACCATATCCCTACTTTTACACTATGTGAAAGCACTTGGTGAATGGCATGAGAATTTTCTTGACTCCATACTTCTACATTTTGCGCACTGACATGACCAATAAGTTAAAGAAGGAAAGAAAGCAACACCATGAACAGAGCAAACAGTTATGTTCTGTATTTGTCCGATATGATGAGTCAGTCATCTGGGCAACAAGCATGGTGTAAATGATCGGATAGTGTGGGAAAGTTCTGCTTGTTTAGATTTTTTATCTTCAGAACCAAGTACCTTACTCTTCCAGTAAGTATATAATTTAAAGGCGAAGTTTTCACATGTGAATTCTTGTTAAGAAAGAAGACTTAGCTAGCAGTTTAAAGTTCATACCGATAAAAATGAATTCATGCAAGGTCATGTGTATTCATGCTTGTTAGAAAGCAGGGGATCACAGGTTTAGTTTGGGGGGGGGGGAACACCAAGAGGAATGTGCCGAATGAAGAAAAAGCTTAACATATTCAGCCATGGTACGGATCAGTACTCAAACTGGTAAGGCACCTAGAATAAACTGAAGCTGCTATGGGACCTGCATCCACACCCACAAGAGTTGCCTGTATAAAGTAACGCAAAAAAAAAAAAGTAAAGGTATCCCTGTAACAGGCCGTGGAGGACCATAGGGTTGTGAGATGTTGAGGTTCCCACATTTTATAGACAATTGGCTCATAGATGGCAGCAAGGTTGTCAGCCTTACGCGTCAGCTGCCCTTTACCCCCAAGAATATTCCTAGTACTCATTTCTGTTAGAGGATGAGTCGACCCCAGGGCCATAGTATGGCTGGAAGGATTAGGTCAATTGAAAAAAATCCAATGGCCTCATCGGGACTTGAACATGCGACCTTCCAGCTTGTAGTATAGTGCCTAAACCAACTACACAGGTAAAGTTGCCCCTGTGCCTAACTAGTAAGCACTATGCCATGAAAGCACATGGGGGGAGTGGATGTATAGATCCACATTTTTATTGATCTCAGCACTAGTTGGAGATGAGTGGTCAGCTTCATGCCACTGCCACTTTAACCCCAGGGAAAGAGCCCCCCATACCCATTGGATAGGAGGCTGGTTGGGCCCCAGAGGCGGTGTGGGCAACGTAGAGAAGAAAAAATTCGTGAACCTACTGGGTCTTGAACTCTGACCTCCTTGGTCATCTTGCCCGTAGCCAGTTGCCATACCGACTATGTCACCCAAGCTCCTAAAGCAACGTACATGTATGAACTTTTATACAGTAAAGAATTCAACCTTGCAGCTAGCTTCTACAAAATGTGCATAATGGAGTGACAATTCCAAAGCTGCTATTCATAACCAATGAG